TCAAACCAATCAAATCAAATCAAATCACATCAAATCAAATCAATCAATCAATCAATCAATCAACCAACCAACCAACCAACCAATCAGTCAGTCAATCAGACAGACAGGCAGACAAACAGACAGAGAAACAGTCAGACAAACTAACAAACAACAAACACACCAATCAACCAACCAACAAACCAACATCCCCACCCATTTTTCTGGTTGGATTAAAGTTACGGCTTTGTGCTTTGTGGCCGGCCTTTTGGCCCGCTTCAGGCGTTCAGCGAGCTGGTCTAGGCGCCGTTTGGCCAGCAACTGGGCGATGTGCTCATAGGTCTCCAGGTGTAAGGCGTCCGCGAAGATGGCGGCGAGCAGAAAGACGAAGCTGTTGGTCCAGTTGTGGGTCACCATCCTAAGTGGTTAGTACTGTGGATGGACACAATCCACTTCGCACCGCTTTAAATAGTCTTCTGAGATTCTGCTTCACATCAGTCTACCCTGAAATATTTACGTACTATTGGAGGAAAGCCCGGCATCTTTGGAATCCACTAATGAGCTTTGTGGCAATTAGATCTGTAAAAGAACCCGCGGAAGCATACCCCACGCAGCCCTTCAGGAAAAACAGTTGATTGAAGGTCCTGGATTTGGTGGGGCTTGAAGCTCTGGTTCTTGTACACATCCGTTGAACGTCAAATACCCTTTTCATGATTCTCAACTTCCTCTATGGCCAATTGAAAACTGGCACCAAACGAATCACGACGAGAACAACGACAAGCTCTTGGCTCTGAATCTTTCTTTCCTACAAACAAAACACGAGAGATACGGAGGCCCACTGGAGGATTCCAGTGGACCCCTGACTGATTTTTTTGGTTTCCTGGTAGCAATGTTGGATACAAAGCCTCAAACAGTCCAACGCCAGTTCCATTTGCAAACCCGAAAACAAATCCGACTGGTCAAAGCCGTAGCCCGGCCTGGTTGCGAGCTGCGGCTCAGGATTCACGACCGTGGAATAGGCGAAGCCTGTGGAACCTCGTTCGAACTTGTCCCTGGACGCATCGCCAATGTGAGACGAGTACCTACATGGGTTTGGTGAAACGGCGGTCGCCGTTAAATGAAAATATTCAAAAAAGGTGTTTACCCAAAACGCCTGGTTACGAGCTCAAAGGGCACCAATGATGGTCGGGTTTTGATCGTAACTCCTCTGGGGCTTCTCCCAAGGAACCTTCCATTTGCTGAAGTCCCCTTCGAAAAACACAAAGAGTGATCGATTCCCCTTAAACCACCTGCGGAAAATTACTAAAATCCTCCTCAGCAAATGGAAGTTACCCGATTTGATAGGCGCCAAGCTGCGGGAGGCTCACCGTTTTGGGGGACAGTTCCTCCATATCCAGGTTGATCTGAACAGCCTCGCCCTGCAAAGTGCTCACCTGCGTGCTGCAGGCTGCCAAGCCTCAGGCTGAATCGCTGAGCTGAACATCTGGGTCTGGGTCTTCTCGTTTATTGGGGGGTTGACATTTGTCAGGAAACCAAAAGTGTTTTTGATTCTGTCTTTTGGTGGAGTGTGCCCACAGCGGATTCCCTCAATCTAGAACAAGTGAACCAATGACATTCAGCTACAAATCCGCGGTAAAGTGCTTGTTTTCCCGGCTGCAATATACGGCATCTACTGCACCTTAACGGGCAGTCTTGCCCGCATGGGGTGATAGACCTATGAATGAATTTCCGGGAGTCATCCCTTCTTTTTTGGATGTGTTCCATGGAAGTGAGTTTTGATTCGGGCCTTCTTCTGAGATGGTCCCTACAGGAGGCCCAACTCAGTTCTGACACGCCTTTGGTCTTGGGGCAAGTTCGCCGTGCAGAAATCCTATGCATTTGGGGAGGATCCATCTTTCTTAGTGAATCAACTCCAGAGGTTCAGAAGAAACTTGGGGCTGCGGAACTTTCTGAGTCGTCCAACAACAACCCCGTTCCACACTAAGGATACATTCGATGGTTCAAACCGAAATCCAAATCTTGACGCTTCCCAGAAGGAGCATGCAAAGGAGTGTGGGGCGGGATATCACATGATGTCCAAGCGAGTTACGCTCATTGGCATATCTCAAGCATCAGCACCCACACACCCACACACACACACACAAAAAGCAAGCAAACAAACAAACACAAACACAAAACAGAAAACACAAAACACAAACCACAATCCACCAAACACAAAACCACCAAACACCAAACACAAAACACCAAGCACCAAGCACCAAGCACCAAGCACCAAACACCGAACACCAAGCACCAAGCACCAAACACCAAAAACCAACCACCAACCACCAAACACCAAACACCAACCACCAACCACCAACCCCCAACCGCCAACCGCCAACCGCCAACCACCAACCACCAACCACAACCACCAACCACCAACCACCAACCGCCAACCGCCAACCGCCAACCACCAACCACCAACCACAACCACAAACACAAACACAAACACAAAACACACACACACAAACACAAACACAAACACAACCACACACACAAACACAAACACAAACACAAACATGACCGAGAATCTGAGCCCTTTTCTTTCAAGCCCTTCATGCATGCTTTTTTGCCCCCAGGCCCAGGTTGATCTTGCTGCCAAACGGAGAGCTCCAACCTAGCCTCCCCCCTCCAAGCAATCCAAACCAACTAGAGGGGAAGCTATAGGTTGGGATGAAAGAACCCATATGAAATCTTGGTTGATAAGCCACCAACCAACCAGAGCCGGTCGAACCGTGTGGATTTCGCAACCACAGTTTGGGTCAATCAGGCGGGTGGAATCCCCGGAACCGTTTCTGCGCCGGAGAGCTTGCCGTGGACCGGCGGACGATACACAGGGCCACCGACTCGTCGTCACCTGCAGCCGACTCGACTCGCGGGGCGCTTTCCGGAGATCCCCTGAGATGGTTGGCTTTGGCTTGTGACCACGAGGAAACTCAATCCTGTGTAGCCGAAGGCTACTCCCTTAGGGTTGGACAAACACGGACACACGTGTCAGGCTCACAGCTGTTAGGCAAATTTTTGCGTGAGTTGTCTTTGAGTGGGGTGATACTTCAAGCTTGCCGGTGCGCAGTAGGGAATGAGGGAATGAACTTGGGGTCCCCTAAAAGGAAACCATAGGGGATGGTTTGTGCCCCTTAAAAGGGGAAACGCGTGTCAACCGTTTCAGTTCCAAACGCCTAGCCGGAGCTCGCCCTTGAAGCCGTTCCAGAACTCCGAGCTGGACAGATGTGCCGAACATGAGCCCAACCGGAAGAGGAGGCCCTCCTCCTTCCATGGCCGCGTGTCTCCCGTGTTTTGTGCTTCTATTGCTCTTGTTCGTTGCTGTTTGGTGGTTCCTTCTCTTTGGCTACTTATTGGCTTGGGTTCATCTCTTGGGGCTATCGTTTTTGTTGGCCCGCTGGTTTGGCCCCCCCATGCTTTCGTTCTTTGGTTGACTAATCCACCGTTGTCTTGCACCTGGCAAAGCGCCAACCAACGATCAGAACAACTATGTCCTGGCCCTGTTCCATGCTTAAGCTAAAACAGTTCTGGAGATCCAAGTCAAGTCCACCGGCCACCAAAAAACCAACGGGTCCTGAAAGAGGTCCTCCACGACCCACACCTGGCCGCTTCCCTTGGCCCTGCAGGCCGTGTCCACTTTCCATGGCTTCGAACCTCCGTCCGCGCCAAACACCGAGCAGACCAAACCAGGCGCGTCCTGGGCCATGGCTGACGGTTCCAAGCCCAAAAAAAATCCAAGCATCTTATCGGGGTGAGGCCCAAGGGATCAAAGTTCAAAGTGCCCAAGCGCCCAATAGGGCAACCACAACTCCAAGATCCACCAACATTCCAAGAGTAAAGCTGCCCCCCCCGGCCCGAATTCTCGTGCCGTTTCTATTCAGTCGACCAAAAGGGGGGTCCAAGTGGTTCAAGGTCTTTGACACCTGGCGGGGAAAAGTTTGGCTTGCGGAGAAACATGTTCTCAAACTAAAAATTGGTTGTTGCCGACTAATTGGGTGATTTCCCCGTTCTAAGGGTAGCTCAGGTCTTCCAACAAATTAGCCCTGATCAGTGCCCCGTGACCCCTCATAAGGAAAACAAGGGGCCCTTTTGTTTGATTTGCATTTTTTAGTGGGCCCCAAACCCACCTATGCATTTTTTAGTGGGCCCCAAACCCACCTATCAAAAAAGGGGTTCAGGGTGCCAGTGAACGAGCTCACCTAGAACGGAGCCAGAGTTACAGCAGTTTCCTTCGAACCAACGCTATGCCAAACTGTCCCTTTTCCAAGTTTCGGCAGTCAAAGCAGGGTTCCACGTTTTGACCAGAGGGTGGACTTGAAGACAGGGTTCATTACCCCCAACAAATTTGCATTGATGAGCTACGCATCTTAATGGCCCATACCTTAGCTAGCATGTGCTGCTTGAACATTTGCAGGCATAGCTGCATAGCGGCAAGCTCTTGTGCTCGTGCTGATGCCGGATTAGAAGCAAAAATGGGAATCCTAAGTCGATGTTGGGGTCAACAAGTGGAACCCATCGAAGCCTCACCCCTGCCTCCGGCAAGATCTCGAAAGCGCAACAGTGGCGGAGCCGCAGGGACAAAGGGATGATCGCCTGGAGCACTGGTGGCAGCCCATCAACACTCGCAACCTTGGCCTTTTCAGAAGGTGACGCTCCACCAAAAAGGATATTAGGGATATTGTATATGTATGTATGCCCGCCGACCTTCCAGAGGCGTGTCGGATACCTAAGAAAGGATAGAGGATAACCCCCCCCCGCCCGACGTCTGATACGTAGGGTTTAGGGGGGGGAGGGGTCCCCCACTTAACGCGCGGAAATTTGATGACCCATCGCAAAACAGGGGTCCCAGGTTCGAATCCTGTTGCCGGCTCTTTGCTGGTTTGGGTTTCCTGCCTCCTTTTGCCGAAAATCTGGGAAAAACTCTGTGTTTTTCACGTCTTGGAAGTGCAAGGAAATGAGGGGAGGAAATAGGAAGTCGACATGACAGGAAAGCAGAAGGAAATGAAGGGAAACAAAGGGGAACTGAAAGGGACATGAAAGGGACAGAAACGAAAACAAGGGGAGCGCAGGGGGAATGAAAGGGAAACAAAGAACAAGGAAACCAATCGGCACGACGGGAGATGTAGGGAAATGACTCGCAACGAAAGAACGGGACGCACATGGAAAATGAAGCGGACATACCGAGAAAATGACAGGGACATGAAGGGGAAGTTGAAAGGAATGGAAGGGACATGACCAGGACATCATGCGAAACGCAAAAAGGAAATGAAGGGGAAATCAAGGGCAAATCATGGGGACAGCCAGTAGTAAGCAGACAGTTCAGGGCCATGAAGGGGCGGTGCCCGGACATCGAGGCAACAGAGAGAGAGAGAGGGAGAGAGAGGACACAGAGAGCGAGAAAGAGAGAGAGAGAGAGAGAGAGAGACAGAGCCAGAGTCAGAGAAAGAGACAGAGACAGAGAAAGCGACTGAGAGAGAGAGAGAGAGAGAGAGAGAGAGAGAGAGAGAGAGAGAGAAAGAGAGAGACAGAAAGACAGACAGAGAGAGAGAGAGAGAGACTAGGTCCTCCAGTAGAGAGGTTAGAATAAGGGTACCCTTTTTCTGTAGAGGACAGAAAGACAGAGAGAGAGAGAGACAGAGAGAGAGAGAGAGAGAGAGAGAGAGAGAGAGAGAGAGAGAGAGAGAGAGAGAGAGAGAGAGAGACAGAGAGAGGGAGATTGAGGAGAGAGAGGCTTCGGGGGATGGGGGATGGGGAGCAGAGGGGAACAGAACACACGGGGGAGGAGACAAAACACACGGGGGAGGAGACAAAAGAGAGAGGAAGAAGAGGAAAAGGGAGAGGAAGAACGGCGGACTGAGCCGGAGGCTCTAACACACATATATATATATATGTATACACGTACTACACACTATACTATATTATGCTAATACATTACGTGGTATATCGCATTCTGTGTTGATTTGTTTAATGATATTCTGGTTGTTTATTGGGGACACGTGTGCTAAATACAGATTATCTAATATAAAAGATGATCAAACGCAGCAAGGATAACCAATACTGGTACCCTACAGTCACTGGCCACAAGTAGTACTCTTAAAGTCAAAGATGTTTTGTTTCCGTGTTTTCCTTGTTTAGGTGGATGGAGGCGCAGTCAAATGTGCAAATGCCGGCATAGTTGGACGGGGTCAAAACTGGGGTGCCCGAACAGGGGGTGGAAATCACCCTAAAGTACCGTAAATATCGTCACATTGTCTTGGCGCGTGCTTTTTTTTTGGGGGGGGACCATATATATATATATATACATATACACACATAGAATATTCAAACCAGAAAGGGCCATGTGACCCCCGAGCCATGGGCCCCAAAGTTGAGGTTACCCTCACCTGGACATCTGATGAACATCATGTCGCCTTTTGCATCCGCAGGCACTCTTGACAATTTAGCCAAAGGCGAACACGCAAGATGGTCCCAAACGTTGGCCCAGGTGAGCTCAGTCTGGCGTTTAGATCTGAACCCTGAATGCCTGACGCACCACGTCGTGAGTGGTAGACCGGGCTGGGTCAAAGTGCGGCATCACATCCTGGACAGAAAAACAAGGATACATGCAAGCCAGCCTGCCACAGGTATGGGTGGCTCTTCTTATCTAATACCCTGAAACCGAAGAAACTTCGTCGTGTGACGGGATGGAACTTCCGTGAAGCGTTTTCACCAGGGCTCCAGCACCTATGTCAAAAAGAGAAATTTCTGGTCAAAAGCGGGCAGGTTCAGCTTTTGAACCAAAGACAGAACCCATTGACACCTGGGCTGAAAGCAGCCAATCAGGGCATTTTTCTGGGGGCAACTTCCTCATTGTTTCCAGCAATCCTTCTTTCTCAAAAACAAACAAAAACCCTGGAGAAATGGTTGCGCATGTCAACCTGGATCTATCCTTGTAGAGAACCCACTGTCGTATAGGGCGCGCCGGTTCAGTTGCATGAGTGCAAAGCTGTGAGCGCAAGCGAGCAACGCAAGTATTCCTTTAAACTGCAACCTTGGCAGCCAAAAAAAGGAGAACAACCGAGAGGGAGGGGGGGGAGAGGTGAAGGGAGGTTAGCTCGCACACCTGCCCTGATAGCTTGTGTCTGCGAAAAAGCAAGCCTTGGGGTCAATCGACACAATCCTAAGAAAGAATGGCGCGCGGACATTCTAAACATTTCTAGAGCAGCTCGCCCGCCTCATTTGCCTTTAGCTTGTAAGGGCCCGCTTTTGAAAAGAACGATGGCTGAAAAGAATGGGGAGTCAACCCCTAGAACCTTCTTCTGCTCAGGTCGGGTTGCCCCAAACCGCCGTCGGTTGAAGGTCCTGTCCCAAGTGCGAGTAGAAGTCCAGGAGCTGACCTAAGATGGGAGCTGCTTGAAACCCAACTGGCTGTGGTTGTCAAAACCGTTTTGGGATCCCATTTTGGGGTGGGGAACTCACCACCCATTTTAGTCTATTTTAATGGGGGTTGGGATGTTCACGGCCATCAAGGTCCAGTAAAGTCAGATCCTCGCAATCTGCCTCCACATCGGGGAAGTGAAACCATGCAGATAAGGGCATGGCCGTTGTCGTGGTTCGTTTGCTCAGAACTCCTCCCTAGGTCGATTTTGATTTTGCCAGAGCTGCAACAATTTGCTCGTGCTTGGGCCACATCGGCAGTTGCCCGAACAGTTTGAAAAAAGATGGGTCTCCTTGTTTATTTTTTGGTGGGATTTTGAATGGAAACCAAAATCCGCCGACGCTAGTCGAGCGTGTAGGTGGCAGTCCGCAACTTGGTCTTCCTTCGGAATCTCTTATCAAAAGCCGTAGGCTTTTGGGACTGCTATATTTTGGGCATGCTGTGCTAGGTGTCCAAAACCCAGTATTTTTCCAGTGTTGTTCGCTAGGTCTCTGGCGGGGGGGGGGAAAAAATGGAGAAAGTAGGGGGCCTGGGGGGTGGTCTGTTGATGGTTGCCTGTTCTGGTTTTTATGTTCATCTCAAATCTATGTTCCCCCTTATTCGTTTTTAAAAGAGGGTTTTTAGGGAGCTTATTTATCGTTTTCGTTAAGGTAATCATTTGGGTAAATTGTCGCCTTGTTCATTGTTGGGCTGGGGGCAAACATTTTTTTCATTTGAAAGAGGTAGCCCTTTTAGTAGTTATCAAGTTCTGGGGTGTTGGTGGGTCGTTTGTTTCTTTGACGTTTATCTCTACAATTATTTATTTTTGTTCTACACTCTTGACAATATTTATATCTTCTTCCACTTTTTACATTTCCAAATTCATCAATTGTTTTATCATAAAGACATCTGTTGCATTTGAAGAATTCACCATAGTCTTCTGTTGCTTTTTCTTCTGTCATTCCATAATTATTCATTATAGTTTGCTTCACAACCATTTCTTAATATATCTTAACAACTTCTTTTTATGTGATTTTTATGTGATTGTCTAGTTATGTTTTATAGGTTGAAATTACAGTATAATGAAAGGTTATAAAAGTTTACACTGTTTAATCATATTATAATTAAATATTATGATTAAGCCATGAAATCATTGTTTCTGTTTTCTATAAATTTCAATTGCAACATGTTCGATAGTAATGATTTCGTGTCGTTTCATAGTCTGTTTGGTTTCTTCAACTGCTTGTTCAATATGGTATTGTAATGACGCTCTACTTGAAATCTTATTCTGTTTAGATGATGAATAAGAACGACTGTTGCAAATATTATTATTATACATAATTTTTGAACTAACTACTATTCCAACCTGTATTTCTTCATCATACTTCATCATTCTTAATAATTCTTTTGGTGGTTTCAACGCATATGAAAGCGCTTTATCACCTTTTAAGCATTTATTGCGAATCTCAACATAATATCTACTTTCTCCTACTCGTTCAGTGTAAATAGACGGTTTCCATTTCCTTTGTAATTCTCTTAAAGCATCACATTGTTTCAGTCTTCGCCACCCTTCACTACCATTAATGTAAGTAGTGATGATTGAAACTAAGCCTTCAGGTAAGCTAGCGCAATTCACAACCATAAAATTATTCTCTGACATTTTACCCTTACTCATTTTTCTCTTAATATATAAGGTAATATTTCTTTAAGTAGTTTTGGCTAGGGGTTGCTGGTCGGCTGGTCTGGGTTTCAGGTTTAATTTAAATGTCTTAACCTCATTGTTAGATTATAAAAACTAGGTTTAATCATATTATAATTGAATAATATCATTAAACTAAATCACTCACGCTTTCCATCCACCTATTCCATCCCACCAGAATTCAATAATTCGCATCTGTCCATCTACTAGACTGTCTTCTGTGTTTAGTTTCCGTATCGCTCCCGATAAGATATAGTGATTAATAATCATAGCATTAAACTGCCCATCTCGGTTTAACTTTTTACCACAGTCTTTTATGATGTTTTCATCTGTTAGGTTTTCATACATTTCTTTCATGATGTCAAACCTAACAAATGAGTATATTGTCATCAAGTTTAATCCGCTATTATCCCTAAACCTGTTAATAACATCTTTCCAGAATTCTTCGTTTTCATCAACTGATGGCAAAGGGTGTCTTTTGACGAAATCCTTTATTTTGTTTAACTCGTCATCTAATTCCTTTTTATAACTGTCATTATCATCATCTTCTTCGTCTGATAGCACCCAGTTTGATAAGTCAGCAATCACTCCGACATTTTCAGTCATATTTTCACTTAATATAATAAGTTAATATTTCTTTAAGTAGTTTTTTATTTTATGTTAAGGGGCGGGGTTTTTATTGAAAAAATATTTTCTAACAATTTAATATAATGGCGAGATTAACAAAAGACCAAATAATCAGCAACATCTATTACGACTTAGACGAGGGTTTCGGAAGCACACAAGCGACACACAAGAAGGCAAAGGAAGAAGACCCAACAATAACATTAGACGATGTAAAGTCTTTCTTAAAGAAACAGCCAAATAAACAAATCAAAAATTATAGAGGAACTAATTCCTATACCGCTCCATTCGCACGATATGAATATCAAATAGACATAATGCATATGTCTCCTTTAGCAAAAGACAAGAACGTTCCACAGTATGCTTTAGTCGTGATTGACATCTTCAGTAAATTAGCAGATGTAATACCGATGGAGGAAAGAGACGGAGAGAACGTTTTGAAGGCGTTGAGAGCAAGCTTTAAAAAGATGGGTTATCCGATGTCCGTGTATTCTGATGACGACGGAGCGTTTGCAACTAAAAATCACGTTCAGGATTTCTTCAACAGTGAAGGAATAAACCACATCGTTACGAAGACCCACGCAAATGTGGCCGAGCGTTTTATTAGAACGATGAAAAACAAAATTCACGATAGAGTTAGGTTTAACAACATGAAATGGACCGACGCCCTAACGCCGGCATTGAAACAGTATAACAGCACATCTCACTCATCAACAAGGATGACACCGTCTGAAGCACACAAGGACGAGAATGAAATAAATGTAAAGGTCAATCTTAAACTACGAGAAAAAAACAAAAGAAAGTATCCCAGAATAGTGGAGAACGACAAGGTAAAAGTGTTTCAAAAGAAAAGGGGTAATTACACCGACAGAAAGGAGTATAACTCTAAATGGTCTAATAAAATATTCAATATCGATAAAATTGAATATGATATTATGGGTAATAAAACTTACAAAGTAGCAGAAATAAACAAACCGCTTTTGAGACACGAAATTTTGTTAGTTAATGATTAAACGTATTTCTTGGTGTCTTCTTTATACTTGACTTGATAGTAATCCAGACTTGATTGTTTAGGTTCTTTTATGATTTTTTCATTCAGTTTTTTAACATAAATGTTTCGTTTATTTTTGTATTCGCTACTGTCTCTATCTACTTCTTTTGCTTGATAATTGTTATTGTTATCATATGTAGGTTTAATATTCAAGCTCTTTAAGATTTTCAGTATGTTTTCATTTTGCTCCAACACTTTTTCTAATCTTGGAAACAACAACTCTAAACTACTGTCAATGTTCGCTAAATGTTCCTCCATATATACTAAATTATAAAACTAAACTTTTAAAACTAAATGTTGCAATTATGTTAAATCTACTCTTTAAATACTATTTTTTCATCATTTGTTTAACAGTTTCCTGAGTTTCCTTATCGCCACTATCGGATGGTGATGCTTGCCGACCCCATTTAAAAGTTATATTATGAACATCTGTTTCTAAGTTTATACTGTCTTTAGTTTTATCAATATTCATTTTCTTATCATTCTTACTTATTTTGAAACTTGTTGGAATACACGAACATTTACAATGTCCTTTCTTTTGTATTTCTAATTCATTTTTCATTTCTAACATCTTTTTACACATTGGACAAGCAAACTCAATAACTGATGTTTCTTTAACAATTTCTTCTTTTTCTTCATTGGTTGAAGAAACACTTAAACCTGTTTTATTATTTTTGCTTTTTTTCCTTCCCATCTATATTAATATTTATATTTTTAATATATTGTATTCCTAACTTAATTAATTCTAATGAATAATAACAACATTTCTTAATTTTATTATCGGTTATTATTACTTGTTCTATATTTTCTACTTTATCTATTATATCAATATAATCTGAATAACTTCTATTCATATAAAATAATAAATATAAAATATTTTCTAAATAACTTTAATATTATTTTATTATGTCTGATGTTCCAATAATAAAACCAATAAATATAACTGATTACGATTTCAAACAATCTAAATATGAACATGTACCAAAACTACCTTTTCGCTCAATTGTTGTTGCTTCATCAACGGGTGGCAAAACAGTTTTAATTCAAAACCTTATCCTAAATGTTTATAGGGACTGCTTCGCCCGTATATTCATTTTTAGCCCGTCGGTTCATAATGACCCTACCTTCGTTGAAGTCAAGAAATATCAAAAAGATAATATGAAGGTTGATGACGAAAAAGAAAAGTTATATTATGACACCTACCAACCTGAAGAACTGGAAGAAATAATTAACACACAAAGAAAGATAATTCATTATATGAAAGAACAGAAGATGAAGAAACTACATTCAATTTTAATCATTGTTGATGATTTTGCAGACGACCCTAAATTTGTTAGATACAGCAAGTTATTACATGGACTGGCAACGAGAGGCAGACACGACGCCATTAGTTTTTGCTTAAGTGTTCAAAAATATCGTGTCCTTGCTCCAATCATTAGGTTGAATTCTAGTTCGTTGTATATCTTTAAGTTAAAGAATGTATCAGAGTTAATGTCATTCATTGAGGAAAACTCCGCCATTGTTGATAAAGAGCAACTGTTAAATATGTATCATAAAGCGGTAGATGATAAACCATACTCCTTCTTTTATGTTAATATGAATTCCA